GACTGGACTGGACTGAACTATTCCAAAAATAACAACGAGGGGTCACGGGTGCGAGTCAACCCCTGTGACACGGATTTCTGTGCCGTGTCACCTCCCTAGTTTGAGTACGACTCCCTGAGCAGCACTGTACATGTAAACGCTCACGGCTACATCATAATGACGTAATTCCCGTCCAGTACAGAGTGGTGTGCCTGCAAGCTCGTATGGAATGTTCTTGTCATCAGTTTGATCGGGGAATATTATTTTCTTCCCCGAAAGTTTACTTCAAAATACATGTGCCCAAATGGACTACATCGAGTGGATTTGGTTCCAGAGTTATAACTTCGCTCTTCAACCTCGCAGCTCATCCGAGCCGATATAACTTTTGTATCATCTAATTCAGCCATGCAGGTTGTGTTTAGAAAAGTATGAACTGTACACTGGTACACATACGTTTGTGCTATGATCCTAAAGGGCCCGGGCTATTCTGACAAGTGGCACTGATGATTCCTTTTTGGTTCAAGTTTAGAGAGAATGGTGACCTGTATCCTTATTATGTTTTTTGCTGCAGGCAATTTGTAAAAGCCGTCGGGTTTATCCGGGACTTTACTTATCAGTGAGTACTAACTACATGTACAGTATATACATGTGGCAGATTGTGTACAGTATATACATGTACAGTATATACATGTACAGCGACTACTATAGACTACTATAGAGCTGAGCAAAGTCCTCCAGTCCAGGATAATCTTCGATGTTCACAGGATCAGAGCTATATCACATGAGTCACACAGTACCGTGTATGTAGCTAATACAAATAGCTTCATGGAATTCATGCTATTTGTGTCATGCCAGATGGCAATCCCTACTGTAACTAATAACAATGGTGCACACTGCACAGCCAGCATGGTCGGTATTTGTGCAATGGCATAGGGGGGAATCCATTTGGTTGAGGCCTGGTAGGTGTGGAAAGTCCTGGAGGTGAAATGTGCTAAGCACCCTGCGTAGTTGAGAAAATAAAACGGCAGCCGGGAAAGCAGTACATGTAACTGTTTAATAATCAGTGACTTGAAAGTAATTACTTGAAGGGATTCATGCATTGGGCATGGCCACTCAGCGGCTCTTCCTCTCCTGCAGGTGCTAACACCCTGTAAGCTCTAGAGTGAGATGCGACGAGCAATGGTGGCGATAGCAGGATAGGACGCATGTGCCCGTTTGCCATAGCTTTGAACTGTTTGAGACATGTATGGCCATTTGATTGGGGCTCACGGCTCTGAGAGAACAGTACATTTCCTTGCAGTGACTAAGCCGGCACCTTTTGGTTCTCAAACATGGTCATATATTATTCCATTAGACTGACTCGGATGGTCCTTTTCTTTACTATAAATTATTCCATTGCTGCATGATTGTGACTACCTCCCATGCATGTGCTGTGCCATTTTAAAAGCCTCTCTCAATCTTGCAGCGTGTACACTGACCTGTACTGAAACTGTGTACACCTGTACTGAAACTGTGTACAGCCGTGGTGAACATTGTCGAAGTTCAGTGGTATGTAGGTGCAGGTGTGAAATGTCTGCCACTCACCATGCCTGGGCCTTGGCACATGCATGCTTGTGTCTACATCATTGTACTGCCTGGTGTTGCTCAGGCATTGCACGTATCGCTTACGGATGTCTTCTCTCCCCTTTTTGATTTCTCTACCTGTCTCTTGCTGCACTGCTGTAGGATGCGGTCCATGGCCATTTTCAGCAAAAACATCGTGTCTTCTGTGTTCTGGACTTCTTTGTCCATCCAAAATGCCAGCGGCAAGGCAATGGCAAAAAGATGTTTGAATTTATGCTCAAGGTACTAGCAGTAACATTATCAGCCTTTTTTTAACGATCTGAATTCAAGATGAGGGCTCTACATGGGCAGAAGACTACATGGGCAGTTGGGCACTAGTGTTACCTGTGCCGGACTTCATAGGTAATTGGGTGAAAATCGTCCAAAATACTCGATCAGGTACTATGCAGTGCACCTTGTCCGTCTTTGATTTTGATTGTCCGACCAATTGTGACGATCTTGGACTTTTTTCAACAGTCAAAACAAGTAGTCGCTGCATTCCTCTTAGACTTAGTTGAGAGTGACCACTGCAGTACGCGAAGAGAGTGTCTGATTTTTGTGTCATCTCAGATGCTGGGCCATGTTTTCTATCCGATATCCTCGGGTTCTCTATGCCGATTAGGCCAAGGGTCCGCATAGTATAGTAAAGACAAATTAGCTGGAAATTCAACAAACAAAAACGTTTTACTGACCGGGTTCTTGTGCTTTGTGTTCCCGCAGTGTGAGGATGTAGAACCATATCAGCTGGCTCTGGACAGGCCGAGCAGCAAATTCCAGGCGTTCATGGCTAAGCACTACAACCTAACCAATCCTATCTTCCAGGTAAGCCTCGGTTGCCCCGGCCACCGACTTTAAACCAATGATTGAACGTCATTGCTGCCCTGCTAGACAGCTAGACACTAGCAGGGCATGGTAACTTCAATGAGCCATGGCATGTGACTATGCGCTGTGTTTTATTTATGTGCTTCTTCTATGTGCTTGTCTAGTCGAACTACTTTGTTATCTTCAAGGAATTCTTCGGAGTCTCAGGCGCCAAGGCCGGTAAGTGTTTGTCATAGCTGCAGAGCTGCACCACCAGAGGTGCATACAATGGGGGGGGGGGGGGGGTTGAATGCCAAATTCTGCTGTCTGATGATCGCTGAAATGCGTGAAACTTGAAGTTACAGCTACACTGCCTTTTGCCTCCATTGTACATGTATGTAGTTTGTGCTGATGGTCTGCTAGGTGTGTCCATTGATTGGTAGTGACCAGTGCTCTGATAGGCCAGTCCCTGAGCTATATGGCCAGTACAGCACGGATGCCGGGAAAGGTAATGCCCATTTGGAGAGTGCTGCTGCCAGGCTACCGCCGCGGAGAGACATCAGTGGAAGCAGAATACCATACCGTAAAAGCCCCTGTATACGCCCACTCGAAATTACGCCCACCCTCCGTGTACACGCCCAGTCAGGGGAAGTCAACACTTTTGTTTCAAAATAGCGCCCATGGCCATGTATGCGCCCAGGTATGCCGGAAACACCAGTACATGTACAGGTGCTGATACCCAATACCTACTTCTATCCCTATTCCAAGTATACGCCCGGTTCCAAAATAACGCCCGTGCCCTTGTATACGCCCAGGAAATCGAGACTGCTATTCTATACAGTCAACTTTGCTTATAACGACACTCGGCGGGGCATCAGAAAAGTGTCCTTATTCGCGAAGTGTCGTTATACCCGAAGTCTCATTACTATGTGTCACAGTTGGATGGGACTTTGCTCTCGGCATGAAAATTATGTCGTTATTCGCGAATTGTCGTTATATCCGCAGTCGTTATTGGCGAAGTTGACTGTACGCCCGGGGCCTATACACGGGCTTTTACGGTATCGGTTATCATGGTGATGTATTTGAGATGCCTGTTTAAGAAGATCACCAACTGTCTTTGAAGACTGGCTTCTTGGTGGAAGCGGTTGCTTTTATAGGTAAGCGGTAGCAATCCCGCTGCCATGTTATTTTTTCTCTGCCCCCCCCCCCCCCCACACACACACTGGACTGCGCTCAAGCTGAGCTTCACTCTGACCGACTGGTTCTCTATTCCGCAGATGTACAACCGGGATCTGATCCATCTCGTGGAAAGGACAAAGCCGCACCTGCAGAAGAGCAAGGCGCTCCAGACGCACGTCGATCTACTTTGCGGAGTATGATCGCCGACGCTGACAAGAACCCAGCAAAGGCTGACGAATCTCAGAGGGGTGACACGAATCAATGTGGAGTATTGAGACCTCCGCGTCGGCCAGGGCAAGCTCCTGCCAGATTTGGAACCATCTTGAAGCCACTCGGTCTCAGAACATCTGTCAGTGCACAGGATGCTGACTTTGGTCTGCTTGAAGCGGGCACTGCTGGTGACTCCACGCTGCGCAGAAAACAGGAACAAGCTATCGGCGGCACAAGCACCAAGAGTCAGCAAGCTGGTGACCTGGGCAGTCACTCTGCACCGCCACCGCCTGGCACACTCAGGGATCGACCAAGATACCCCAATGATACCGCAGGCAGCCACGGACCCCACCGAGAACACCCGGTGCATAGAACACCACTGCTTCCACCTCTGAAGGGAAAGGAACGTCGCGGGTAAGCACTGTGGATTGCGTTTTTGAACTTTTCAACAGTGGTGTAATGTTCTTTTAAAAGCTTGGCACTCAAATTCGTTATATTACTACTTCCACCTCTGAAGGGAGGGGAAAGTCATGGGTAGGCAAAACTTTCGAACAGTGATGCAATGTTCTGAAGCTCGGTACACTAGATTGCTATCAGTAGTATTACTTTACAAGAACTCAGTTGGTAAGCCGAGGAAACATCAAATGCGGAAGTTGAGCCAATAAAAAATAGAGAAAGAAAAGAAACATATGGATACGGGTTTTAAAGAGTACTAGTAACTGTTAAATATCAAATTGGGAACGTGGAAAACAGTGGGGTACAAGTTATCCATTAGAGTCCACCACCTAGGGCAGATCTTGAACAGTACAATGTAGCACAAAACTGTCATGGGCTAATGAGTCTAATGAGTCTACTGATGAGACTTTCCACGGCATGAAAGCGAGCTTAATTAAGCACTGCTTGGTAACGCTAACCAACGGCCTTCCAACTTGGAAGGTCCATGGGTATTAGTGATAATTCCAAAAAGAGGGGGCCATCAAGCCGAACACAAGCTACATCCCAAGGCACCACTGAATGCTGGCTTGGTAAGACAACAGGACGGTAAGACCATCATATGAGTACGGTCTAACCACATTTGAGCCTCCCAAGTTGGGTGGGTGTTGGTTTGCGCTGTCGAATTGTGGCTAGACTGTGCTGTCCAACTTGGAATTATCACTAACACCTTTGAAACTTCCAAGTTGAAAGGCCATTGGTCAGCGCTATCGAGCAGTGCTCAAGCTCACTTTCATGCCGTGGAAGGTCTCCGCACTCCTTGTCAGTTTTGTGTTGAGTTGTGTGCGTCTGCCTGTTCAAGATTTGGTCTAAACGGCGGACTCTAATGCATTACTTGTGCCCCACCGTTTCCCACGGTTTAAATTTATTACCTTATAGGCAGTACTTCTTTCAAAACAAAGTTATTTTCCCAACAGCTTTGCCTTGGCAACCTGGCATGAAGTGTAGCAAGAAGGAGCCACGGGTGCGTGTGATCCCCGCGGTAGCCTAATCGGAATTCGGCTAGGCACTGTCCGGGAATGACAGGGGTGCTGGGTTCGAATCTCGCTCGTGGATCCTTTTTTTTGCAACATTGGGGTCCTGGCAATGACTCGAACCCCTGACCCATCATGCATTACTAGTTAATAGGGCGCCAGGATGGAGGTGGGCTGGGACACAAATTGAAACAGTCCCAGGAGTAGCTGGTGTTGGGAGCAACTTGACCTTAATGATACCACTTACTGCTTGACCGCTCTCAGACCAGGACAGACAGCGATCCGTATCAGATTGGATTTGGAGGGCTTCAGTGTGGATCGATCTGGATGCGCCTGGCACCGTGCTGAAGAGCAGAGAAGATTGGAATCGTCCGCAAAAAACTCCGGCACATAAGGAAAAAGGCGTTGAAACCGACCCCATGACACGCAGGACTCGGCCACATATAAAGTCCTGAACCCAATCACGAGCAGACGGGCGGCACCAGCCATACACAGGGAAGGTAAGATTACTTCATGACTAGCTCGATCAAATGCCTTTGAGGGGTCAAGAAACACGCCATCTGGCGAAGTGCTTTGGCATCAAATGCTTTGGCAATTGTTGTAGTGAGGCATAGCAGTTGACCAACAGCTGATCGGTGGCGCCGAAAGCCAAACTGGGCCAGGGATTACAAGTTGTTTGTCTCTACGAACGAGTGAACTGGTGACTAATGAGCGAATCAGTTTACCGACTCCATCTAAGAGGGAGATTTTTCGGTAATTCATCGGGTCGGCCCGGAGGCATCTCCCTTAACCGTGTACAGGGGAATTACTAATGCTGATTTTCACTGAAGAGGCTGCGTGCTGCTTGAATGCAACGGTTGACCAGTTCAGTCAGCCTCGGGATTGGGCTAACAATTCAGCTAATTCACGGATGATGCGTTTGGACAGTGCGCCAGCTGTGGAGCGTTGCACAGGGAGGCAAAGTAATACATTGATGTAATTGACAGAGGTCACAGTTACTGACCTGGAATAGGGCCTTAGTGGAAGACAGGGACTGGGCAATGCTGTGAAGCGGGATGATGACTGAGACTGAGGTACATGTACTTAACTTCCTGCTATCACCTCGGCGATGCAGTGAATTGGGGGGGGGGGGGGGAGGGCTGCTATCACCTCGGTGATGCAGTGAATTGGGGGGGGGGGCTGCTATCACCTCGGTGATGCAGTGAATTGGCTCTGTACCTACATTGTACGTTGTGATGGCATATCTCATAATTAACGATGACCAAACTGATAAGAGACTTTGTCAAGTGAGTGGTGCGTCTATGTCTCTATGCAGCATAAGCGTGGAGTTGCACACTTTGTGTCAATTACTGCTATCATTGCTTTATTTGTTTGATAGACCCAACATTGATCAGAGGCTTGGTGACCGCGAGGAGGATCAGACCTCTAGTTTATCACTTGCCATGCAACCACCAGAGTTGAGGCGCAGTGCACCTGGTAAGCTGCCTCCTGTGTCTCATCAAAACGATCATGTGTCCGACCCTGTCCTTCACTCACGGCTTCTAATGGGCCGGCAAGGCCATCTTCCATCGTCCAGTGCTGCCGAACTGCCTCATCGCTATACCGGCACTGCCAGCAAGTGGGACGAGTCTCTTATATGTAAGTGTGTAAGCGGCTAGTACAGACCGGCATGCGGCTGTGACCGTGCTGGACAAGCTCACCCATGCAGTGCACATGCGGCTGTGACCGTGCTGGACAAGCTCACCCATGCAGTGCACATACACATGTACATGCAGACCTGCAGAACATCTGTAGTCTGCCGGGGCTGTCTTCACTCTTCAGTGCCATAGTCCACCATCCCTCCCTCCATGCTCCATGCTAGGCATTCATTGTCACAAACTAATGCCGCTCAGCATGTACAGTGATGAAAAGTATTCAAAATGGCTACGAGCCTGGAGGACGAAATTGCCGGGGCATTGAGCTGTTTTTAAATCCAGAATGCATCCACTTCACCTCCCCCCCCCCCCCCAAATGCCTGCAGGAGGACATCACATTACACTGTGCACGCTGTCTCTGTGAGCATAGATTGTGCATGCACAGTGTTTCAACTGTTTGAGTCCATATCACCCTTTAGTACAACATGCAATGCATTGCAAATTTGCAATACATGAACATAAATAATTATCCACGGCCAACCTTGCGTTGTGAAGACAATTATGAGCAATAAAGATGAGTTTGACCTCTTCTCCTCGTGTATAATGAATTTACGTCTAGGATTGAAAGTCTCACGAAGCTTCACTCTGTGGTGGTTGTACTAATCGGTGGTCTGTTGTTGGTTTTCTCTTGCTACGTATCCTGTGTGCAGCGGCCATGAGTCGTGGACGGACGCTCAATGTACGTCGTTGATCATCCTCGGGTCACCCCCCCCCCCTTGGATATGGAACTTGCAGCGGCATCCTGAGCAGTTGAAGCCCTCTCGTTGTGCGTGCGTGTCTGTGTGTGTAACATAATCGTGTCAGTATGGATGCTGCAGTCAAGCATTCCCTGGTCGCTTGCTCTAGTGCAGTTCTGGTGTCAGACTTAGATTCCAACCTTCATTCACATCATCTCTTTTGAATGTACGTTCTTCGCAGTAGCACTATGAAAATATCTAGTATGTTCCGTCCTTTTTTTGGTTTCATTGATGCTATTCATTGCAGTGCAATGATACATGTTAACAGTTCATGTGTTACTAGAATTGCCTCTACCCCCCCCCCCCCCTACACACACACACACACACACACACACACACACACACACAACTGAGGCCATTGCCATTCCAGCTTGTGTTGGTTTAACCGCCAGCAATTCAGGCACGTGCGCCAGTGCCCTTCAAGGGGGTCCCGGGGGGGGGGGCCTCCCCCGTGAAAATCTTTCAAAACATGAAGCAAAATCCTGCATTTTGAGTGAAAAAGGGGGGTTCCGGGCACCCAGGAACCCATGCGGGGCACGCGCCTGAGCATGCAGCCATGGCCTCCGTTACATGTATACATCAGTCAGCTCTTCAATTCTGTGCGGCATGGGCCTGCCAGGTATGGACATGCTCAACCCGCTGTCAGACCACCAGGCGCACCAAATCTGTAATGCATGGAAGGGATTACTACAGCGGTGGTCCCCGTACAGAATGTTCAGTGATGAATTGTCAGCTTGATCAGTGCGGAGTCTGCGGACGGATTGAGAAGGCATACTATGCAGGCGTTCTCTATCCCAACTCGTAGCATGGCTGAGTACGGCACAGAAATTCTGAGTTCTTACCAGAAAAAATATGGTGAAAATAATAAATATCACTGCTGAAAACCAACTCATCCAGGAGTTTGATGATGTAGACGTAAACACACTCGAGCGCAGTCCTGCAGTGTGTGTTCCATCCCAGGGTACTAGGGTATGCATAATCATTAAACAACTGTCATTGTATGGGTAGACTACAGATCCACCCGGTGTTGACCAAAGAAATCCAACCAAAGTCATCTGCATGGGAAATCATGCTGTGTTCAGGCCCACCGGTCGCAGATCAAGCTAGTTATGTGTGTATGTTTCCATGGTTACAATGGACATGCTTGCGTAATGCGGACTGGTGCACCCACATACATGTATGCAAAAGATAAGACATGATTTCCTTGGTCCCAGCCAGGGAGTAGTACAATTATGGTATTGTACTACTCCCTGGTCCCAGCTGTGCTTTGTCCCTGAACCTGGGAGCCCAGAAAAGCGGCTGTGCTTTGTCCCTGAACCTGGGAGCCCAGAAAAGCGGCTGTGCCTATCTGTACTGTATATAGTGGCAGGAGTATGCGAGCAGGATATGATCGCTGCGTAAATTCACAAGATCAGGAACATAGCCACAGCCACATTATAAACCGAATGCAGTATGGATCATTCACTGTCCAGGGGTGCAAGAACGGGTACTGGAGGCACGCAGCATTTTACGGGGCCAAGTAATAGTTGCTGGCCCAGAATAAAATGTTTATCAACAAGTTGCGGTGAAAGCAGGGAATATTATGGCAGAGGGCTAATACTGATATTCGAACTTTATCCCTCATATCAAGACAAGCTAAATAAGAACAGTACAAGTAGTTGCGAGAAAACTGAGCAGAAACTGAGCAGGCTGGACAACTCAGATTGTACAGCAGAAAACACAGTAGCAAGAGCGTCGTAGTGTCGAGAGAAACTGTTAGAAATTGTTACTTAGAAAATATACCTAGAAGATGGAACAGAGCCACCATGAGCAGAGCTGAACAGAACACACAAGCAGAAGAAAGGCCTGCATGTGTGTACAGCAAGGGATGGAGAGAGAGAGGGAGAGAGAGAGAGAGAGAGAGAGAGAGAGAGAGAGAGAGAGAGAGAGAGAGAGAGAGAGAGAGAGAGAGAGAGAGAGAGAGAGAGAGAGTGGTTTGTGCACATTATGGCACCATCAGAGAACTAGAGTGTATGAAACCACTGGGAAGGAAGCCTAACTACAAACTAAACAGAAGCTCACCACTACAACAGCGCTGTCACATAGAATGACATGACTTAGAATAATAAAAAAGAGACCTTCATGTACTGCTCATACCCAATACTAATGACTAGTGTCTAAAACAACAACAATAACCAGGAACTACAAGTAGTGAAACTCGTGCGCTGGTCGGGAAGGGTAAATTTGAATGAGGAGAAAATATTTTAAAAGTACAGAGACAAGCAACGGCAGGAAACGTCATTGCGCATTCACATGTCTACTTAGAAGTTACCTGTACAATAAGATCAGTAGCAGCACCGTTGCACATGCTAGTACTTGGCGTGCATCATCATCATCATCATAGTCGCGCTCAACCATCCAATACAGCATCCAAAGAGTCACCTCTCCAAGCTCCAAGGCCACCAGCATACGAATCTGATTGCATCGACTCACGATGATGGCTTGGCAAAATGTCACCAAATGAACCCGATGTAAGAGAACCGTCATCACCGTCGGTGCTCCCAACAGCCTGTGGCTTTTTCCCTTTAGCTTCAAGCTTGGCCATGTCGGCACACAGATCAAGAAGACGCAGGTAGCCACTTTCATCCACACTCGGACGTTCCTCACAGCCTCTCTCTTGATTTTCAGCACACAAGTGTGCCCTGAGAGCTTCAGCTGATTCATACAGAGTTTCAGCATTGGCACTTTCACTGTCTGCATCATCGGCACAGGGCATGCGGGGTTGAATGTCCGTCAGTCGGAGGTAAGCAGGTTCTGGCCGCCGGGGCAGCTCGCGCTCCTGCTGGAAAGTAGATGGCGGACGAGGCACCCACACTGGTGGTTCAGCTGGCTTTGGCCTCATTGCTTCCAGGTCATCAAGCAGCTTTTGCCGATGGGCCTTCGCCTCGCGTTCGGCCTTAAGTCGCTCCTTGTCGATGTTGGGCCGCTTGATGACCCCACTTGGATTAGACCAAGTGCTGCTACGCTTTCTTGCCTTAGGGCTCAGCGGATCCTCCTCATTTTCAGCCGACGGGGCCAAGTTGGTCTTCTTTTTAGCAGAGGTGGCGGCAGACGTCAAACGGCTACGATTCTGGCTGCTATCATTGCTCGAAACCTCCAGTGGAGGCACACTCCTGGGTTGGCTGGGGCCCAGTGGTTTAGACGGCCGTACTTCCATACTCGGCCTAGCTCCGATGGTGGATGTCCGAGGCCGAGAGGCCGCAGCACTTAGCTGCTTCGCTTCCTTGCATTCTCCTTGCTGCTCATCGACCACACCGGCATCATCATGGCAGTTCTGAGGCGATGGCGAAGTGAAAGCGTTCTTGAAACGTGGCAGCAAGCGCCCCAGCCCAGACTCACCTGCTGGATCTAAACCGGCCTTAGACGATTCAGCCAGCGCCTGTGCAATGGAACTCTGTTCACACGGTAATGCTGCAGGTTCCGGGGTCTCCGGGCTAGCCAACCTGCGAGGGCGCGATCGTGATCGGAACGAGGTGCCGTACTTGAAGGACTCCTCACGGTTAACTTTCTTGCTCGGACTTGCGGCAGTGTCTTTACTCGCTTTTTTACTTTGACTCGGGGACGCTGCTGCTGGCGGCTCTGGCTTAGTCAGCTGCAGATCATCGTTAGGAGAGTAGTAGATGTATGAGGGCCGCCGTCGAGGTGTTGGTTCCAAAGGTTCTACCTGCATAGTGGTGGCACAGTCGAGTGACCTCCCAGCTGGTGCCCCGTCTTTCTTTTGCATCTTGCGGCGGTACAGCTTGAAGATACCACTGCTCTTGTCCTTGCGTGTTGTCTGGTTCCAGTTAGCTGGCGGGTTCTCCGACACGTTACGATCTTGGTGAATGGATGTCCGCCTTTCAGCCGGTGGAGATGGCCGCTGGCTTGGGGGCAGAGTATCACTGTTCACACGCTTCACAGAGCCAGCTCCTTCCGGTGAAGAGGAACGTAGAAATAGAGTCGATGGATCGGCGGGTGACGAGTGAGCACTGCCGATAGAGTGGACCCGCTCGTTCATGTCAAATTCAGCGTCAGAAGCAAGTGACGGCGTTTCCGACAGAGTTGGCTGCTTAAGATGCGGGCTGCGCCGCCTGCCACTACCCGTGTCAGGCCAGACACTATCTATGGATGTTATTGATCCTGGCACACAGCTGCTTTGTGCAGTACTCTCCGAACAATCCACACTAGTCGGGCAGGACGCATCGCTGTCACGATCGAACGCAGCATCACGAAACAATTGCTCAGCCTTCTCACGATCAAAAGGCGCGTCCGGCAGTTCGTCGAGCTCCACAGAGCGTGATAGGCGCAGTTCACGCCGCTCGCGTGCCATGTTGTACTGTTGTTGTGCACGTGGCAATGTCTTCACAAGCGCATCATTCTCCGGCTTTTCTACTTCCCCAGCCCAGGTGCTGCTGCGACGCAGTGGCGTGTATTCAGCACGCATCTGCATGGGAGAGTCGGCTATGCCTGGCCTGCTGTGCCGGAATGATGAGCTGGGCCTGGCCCGCGCAGACGAACTGCCGCTTGACTGTTGTTGCTGCTGCCGTTCATTGTCGACCATCACCGAGTCACAGGACAGCCTACGGTGGACGCCGACATTCAGCGCAGGCACAGTCCGCTCCTTGCCACCGTGAGAGCCATCATCACCGCTGCGGAGCGCGTCTTCAGGTGGCTGCTGGGATCCTCGGCTATTCTCATTTCCCATCTCCGGCTAAACAATGAATCCCCTGCGTCGAACAGCAAGCAAAAACAAACAGAGGAAGAATGAAACACGTTAGGATAAACTTACTGAAGTACGGTCATGTGGAAGCATGCATGCATTGTTGAAATAACCTGAAAGTGCCATAGTACTGCGCGTCATACCAGGTCACATTGCAGAACACACACAATGAACGTACACCATTAACATCTAGTACAGTGTATCTAGGTTTCACCATTAACATCTAATACTTTGTTCCTACTTCAACTTGCACTCCTCCACACTACAGTATCTACGTTTTGAGTAAGGTTTACAGCATTGTTCAAACAATCAGTTGAAGCACAGTAAAACCTGCCCTGACCGAATGCCCTCGGTGCAGCGCCCTCGGTGCAGCGGAAACTGTCCTAACATGACAGGACTCCGCTTGATCTAGGGATGCAAGTTCGATCCACAGCACGTCGGTGCATGAAAATTGGTCCGGTCAATGCAGAATTCCGCCTGGTACAGGGTCCGCCAAACACAGGTTTTACTGCTTGTCTATCGTGATGCAGGCAAGTCACATCATGAAGGCAACACACCGCATAGTGACCTGTATCCATGGCTGCATACTCGTGAACCGTTATGGACTCGGACGATTGGATACTTAGCAGGGTCACTGACCTCGGGGGAGGGGGGAGGGGGGGGGACAACATTCTGGAGCAATCACCTCTCGGGCATAGTATTGCCAGTGTATGGCCAGTATTTGCGATAGTATAATACTGCGCAGGGTTTCATTGCACCGAGTGTGCACATCTGGCAGTCTTACCACGGCATAGCTCTATTGGTACAACCTTTCCTAGTTGCCTGCGTTGTCCTGTCCATCTTGCCGCCACGTCGGTGACTTTGTTCAGACAGTTCTAATAGGGCTGCCAAGTGTGACGTCACAGTCCTTGGCAACGGAGCCAGCAACCATCTGCTTATCGTCGCGGCTCAAATATTGTCCCATCAATTATTTACATCACAAGATAGTTGAGCAAGATACCTTTCCAATGGACTGGCGTATTGCTTGTTTGAATCTGTCATATGCAGCTTGACAGAGTTATGAGTTCAATAAAAAAACTATACTGTATATGGATAGTCGATGTCGAGCCAATAATAAAGTAGAAAGGAAAAGGACATATGGATACGAGTTGTTGCACTTTCTGACTGTATATAGTATCTGGTTACAGTGATGGAGAGTTACTCTTAACTCGTATCCATATTATGTCCTTTTCCTTTCTACGTATATGGATAGTTTAGTAATATTGAGTTATGTCACAATATGTGCTTCACTGCATGGGGTCTTGCTCTTGCATGGCTGAACTTATTCACATCCTACACAGATTTCGACACTGCTGGACACTGCTGGGCTGTGAAACATTGTCGTGTGCTAGTGCATGCAAACTATGAAAGTTGTCTTCTGAAGAGAAATGGCCGCATTCTAAAAGTGAGTTTGCAGCCGAAATGCTTAGCATCGGACACTGTTTTCACTTGGATTTACACCGAAGTTACTACATTGAAGTAGGTTTGATGGGTTCTAACGTGCCATTAAGTTGATAGCTGGCGTGAGTGACAGAATAAAATCCACCAGACCAGCTGGCTAGCATGAAATCAACAGGCACACACCCGAGGGGCTTACGTTCAACGCACGATGCCTCTCATTTCTTCAACGATTATTTAGTCAACCTGGGCGCCTCAGCCTAGGCAGCAGGCAGCCCATCTCATGGGCACTCTCGACTTCGACCGACTTCAGATTTTCGCAATCTCAACAACGCTGACCGAATGTTCGGTTTCGGCTCGGAGTTCTCAGCAGCTCAATAGTGGGCAGGTGGCTTGACGAAAATACACCAGTACTCGTAATGCTAGAAACCGTCAAGTTTGGAGCTGAACACAATGCTCACAAACAGCCAGGTAACTCAACTGCTGAGTCAAAATACTATTGCCAGTCAAGAACGACTTCGAACTTGAGGTAACTGACCGCAAAGCATGGAAACTGCTTTCCCCTCTGCACTGACACCCTACATCAGACACATGATTGTTGTGCAGAGTGCAGTGTTGTCAAAAGAAAAACATACAGGTGTACTGTAGTAACCTGACAGCTGACAACTGAAAACCAAAAAAACCCGGTACGGCTCGTACCTCCACATTTGCCGTTGTAGACCATAACAAGTCATGTGCCTGGTGTACGAGTCTCGTACGGCGCGCCAAGCAGGGCCTCGAGTTGCGTTCGCTTTTGCCCGATTCTGGGTTTGGCAGCGGGGGCCACGCGGCCTGGACAGCGCTTTTCCACGTTTCACTAGCGGGAAAATCCCCCGGTATCAGGTATCCGGCACGCGGTATCCAGGTATCCGGGAGTACAGTACTCAAATCCGTGATTATGTACCTGCACTATGCTGCAGTATGCACCTTCCCTTTTAGTTCCTCTGTGAGCCCCTCACGTCGAATCAAGACAAGACGACAAGAAGACATGAAGAGAGACCGAAAAAAAGAAAAAGCAGAGTCTGCCAGCATGCAACCAAAAACGAAAACGAAACGTGGGTGACCGGTGAGATAGGTGTGCGCATGCCGTACATGAAACGTGCAAGCCTCAAGGAGACCCTACTATACTACCGGTACTGTACTACAGTTCTGGAGAACAAGAAGGCTTTATAAATGTTGTAGTTTTACGCTGATCGAGCTGAGCGATTATCAGGCAACATGGAACGCTGGGGAAAAGCTCTTCTCTGCATTGCAAGTACGAGCCTCAGCGCGCGGTTGGTGATGGTATGCTGGTGTGGAGTCGGGACTGATCAGTCCTTCCACCAAATCTCTGTCATCTGAACGAGCGGCCGGGTGAGGTAGGCATCTGATCGATCGACGAAAGTGGTGTGTTAGAGGGCTCTACTCCCGGATGTTGAGCACTGTTTGAGCACTGTTCGAACAGTTCAAGTCCGGGTAGGGAGCAGACTCGTGTCGTTGTGCCTTGTACAATCAGTGACCACTTCGCTCTGGCACTTGATTTGCGACTCACGTCCTGCACACCGACCGTGCGACGTGGCCGTAACATTGCAAGAATTGATATGGGTCAATTTTTTGCACATGACCTGCTAAATAGCGATCTAGAGAACTTCTGCTTTGCGCGGACGGAAGATGAAATGTGGGATATGTGGCTGGAGAAACTTGTCGCTGTCTTGAACACTCATGCTCCTATCCGTCTACACCGCCCCAAAGCTCCTACCCGGAAATCCTTCCCCTGGAAGACGCCAGCTCTACATGACCTAGTCCAGCGACGTGACGCGGCCCATCGACAGTAGAAAGCATCACCTGCAGACCCGGCTCTACGCAATGTCTTCACTTCTGCCCGAGACGAAGCCAAGCGTATGTCACGACATCTCCGAGCCACCTACTTTAGGGACCTTCTTGCAGCTAGTCAGGCCAACGCACGAAAAACCTGGCAGACCATCAACTACCTCAGCGGTCGTAACAAGTCCTCAGTTCCACCAGCCGTCAGTGTCTCACAGCTCAGTGACCAATTCAGCGGCGTGGTGTCAGACCCAACTAGACCACTACGTCTCTCAGCCCCATTGGGTCCCAGGAAGAAGGAATGCCTCGAAGAATTTGCTCCAGCAAGTGTGCAAGAGATCGCTAAGCTGCTCTCCAACATCGACGTGCGCAAAGCTGCAGGCAGCGACCAGGTTCCAGCTGCAATCCTCAAACACTGTTCTCCCGTCCTTGCACCGTCCCTCACCAGACTAATCAATGCATCTCTGGCTTCTGGTGTTGTTCCTGCATCTCTGAAGATTGCGGATGTTCGTCCCCTCTTCAAGTCAGGCGACAAAGCTGTCGCTAAGAACTATAGACCAATATCGTTATTACCAATAGTTTCCAAAGTCCTAGAACGGGTAGTCCACACGAGACTCTGTCAGTTCCTCTCCGAAAACTCCTTGTTCCCCGCAAACCAGTTCGCATATCGCCCACTTTACTCCACAGAAGATGCTCTGACATTGGCTGTAGACAGATATTTGGAGGCAGCGGATCAGCAGCGCCATACAGGTCTTGTACTTGTCGATATGAGCAAGGCCTTCGATAAGGTCAACACCAAACTTTGGTTACAGATCTATTTCAGCTTGGTATTACCTCAACGGCGCTCAGTTGGTTCATGAGCTACCTAACTGACCGCCGTCAGCGAGTCGTCCTGAGCAATGGCCAGTCGTCCGCCCTCTCCCTGTGAGTGTGGTGTTCCTCAGGGAAGTGTGCTGGGTCCTCTTTTGTTCTCCATCTGCACAATGGAAATAGAACAGATCACAGCTCCAGCCCACTCACAACTGTTTGCTGATGATATCCTGTTAGACGCCATCAGTCAATCTGTCGAATTCTTGAATCTAACCCTCTCCCGTTCGGTCTCCAACCTGGCCAACTTTCTGGAAGAAAGAGGCTTTTACTAAATCCCTCCAAAACCCACGTTCTGGCCTTTCATGCGTCTCGCAGGCAGCCCTTGTTACTTAACATAGAATGCAATGGAAATCCCCTAGCTCAGACCACAAATGCTCGATACCTAGGTCTACATCTCGACTCCCAGCTTCGGTGGGAGACTCAAGTTGCAACTATTACACGGAAGACCTCCCAGAAACTGACGGCGCTGCGAGCCATTCGCTCCTGCTTAACTGAGCAACAAGCCCTGCTATTCTACAGATCGTTAATACTACCGGGAAAATGAAGTTGAAGACACCACTGCAGCTGTACTTATGGTAGATAAATATGGTGATAAAGACACACCTGGCAATATGGCGGTAAACACACGCCTGCCCACACACGCTCTCTAGGCTGCAAAGTTCTGGCACAGTCGACCAGGCGCCAGGCGCGAACTGATGGTGGTGGTGGTGAGAAGGAGAGCTCTGTGCCAGAACTTTGCAGCCTAGAGAGCGTGTGTGGGCAGGCGTGTGTTTACCGCCATATTGCCAGGTGTGTCTTTACCACCATATTTATCTACCATAAAACAGAGAGGTTCCCTTCAGAACTTTAAACCAGCTACAGCCATCACCTAATTAAGTAAGAGACAACCAGCTCCAGTGGTTGTCACCTTTCACCACTGCTGTCATTCACGCTTTGCACTGCCGCTATTTACACTTTGCTTTGTGAGTATATAAACCAATACTGATCCAGATTTCCAATTACTGTTTTCTGATGATCGCTTAGTGCGTGAAACTCTGAGTAAAAACACTTCCTCTGTCCTCCTATTGTTTGTTTATCTACCATAAGTACAGCTGCAGTGGTGTCTTCAACTTCATTCTCCCGAGTCAAGCTCCGTGTGAAGACATCCAAGAAGAAGATTGCCTGATGAGTCCAGCGGGGACGAAACGTACGTCGCAATCGAGCTATGTCGTTGCTGTGTCATCTGCTATGTGCCATGCGCTACTTGATGTACCAGCCTGCTATGCCGGATACCGCCAACCATGCATCGACCAGGCGCCAGGCGCGAACTGATGGTGGTGGTGGTGAGAAGGAGAGCTCTGTGCCAGAACTTTGCAGCCTAGAGAGCGTGTGTGGGCAGGCGTGTGTTTACCGCCATATTGCCAGGTGTGTCTTTACCACCATATTTATCTACCGTTAATACTACCGGACATGTTATATGGATCTAATGCCTTCTTCTGGGTTCTCTCTGCTCACCAACGGTATCAGCTTTCGGTCCTCGACAAGCGATGTATCCGCTGCGTTGCCAACCAGCCATTCCCCTCCCACACAGATCCCATCTACACCCGTCTAGGCCTCATCCCCATCATCCAAAATGCCCACTGTAAACTCCGCCTCCTCATGCTTCGTATCCACACCCCCAGAATTAGTAATCTCCTGTCCAAGCGCCTACGTCGCCAGACTGAAGGCGTCACTCGGATCAACGATCCAAATGCGTATGTCCCTGCCACCAGGCGAGTCTCTGGTGACTGTCGGCCGCTCGTTTCTGCTGTTAGATTATGGAACGCCCTGCCCCAAGAGTTCAAGTCCCTCGCCTGCCATAGATCATTCAAGAGACTTTTAAAGGTTTATTTTTATGGCTAGCCAGCATCTAGGCTTGGACTTGGAGTCGTGACTCAACTGTGACTCAACTGTGCTTTCTTCTTCTTCTTTTTTCCCTTTCTCTTTTTCTTTTTGAGTATTTGCAGTCTGTGTTTGTGTTTTTCTCTCTTTCGTGGAGGCTTGCTTGTTGTATCCTTGGCTCTCGGCCGTTACTTTGTCGCCATCATAATATTGGGCACCATTGCCCGTTTGGTCTGCGATACAAAATAAAATTTCAACAACTCCGGATCCGTGAGACGAAAGGAAGTACATGTAGGCTACATCAGAACCGGCACTGTTCCTATCAACGCCAGGCATCTTTGATTATTATTATGTCTCCCGAGAATCATGGCCAGCTAGCCTACAAAGTAGCATCATACGCAGACGACACAGCTCTGTACCGGCTGATCCATGCTGGTGAGTGATGACACATCAAACCACCAGCTGTCAAGACATGACAACCTGTCGAAAGGTCACTTCCGGGTCAGGTCAACTTACTTTGTGCTATACCCCTCCTGCTGAGTCCTGGAACATTCTACGTAGATCTACACTGCACAATCATGTACATGACATGTACTTGGAGTTGGAGTGCAGTAGGCTCATTGACGTTTGATTTCGTACAGACTCAGGTCGTCTTCGTCTTCGAGAAGCACCCCTTTCACACTTACATGTATCTTTGTTAATTCCGAGCCGCCCAAGGAGGGTGGCATGCTATCTTTGTTAATTCCGAGCCGCCCATTGAGGGTGGCATGCTATCTTTGTTAATTCCGAGCCACCCAAGGAGGGTGGCATGCTATCTTTGTTAATTCCGAGCCGCCCACGGAGGGTGGCATGCTATCTTTGTTAATTCCGAGCCGCCCACGGAGGGTGGCATGCTATCTTTGTTAATTCCGAGCCGCCCAAGGAGGGTGGCATGCTATCTTTGTTAATTCCGAGCCGCCCAAGGAGGGTGGCATGCTATCTTTGT